AGTAAGATTAGGGTCTGGTTCGCAGAGTTTTATTTGCACACATTAGAAATCTTTTCATGTGAGAATCACAAGCAAAACTTTGAGTCACAAACAAAAACTTAGAATAGCAAGAAAATATTTCTGACATGCGCAAATAAGTTTGTTTTGCAAATAATTTTTTCACTTCATGAGACAAAAATGTGTGATTTTAATTTTAAAACAAGTTTTTTAAGCTAAACTCAGCAGGCTTTTCTCATGGTGACATGCATTAACAATTACATTTTGCTTCTTTTTCTTTTTTCTGCAGTTCCACCTTAAAGTTTGATGCAGCTCTGCTTTCCTGAATGGACCATCTTCATCTCCACTGCAGCAAACAGGCAGCTCTTTTTTTATAGATTACAGTCCACTAAAAGGTTGCATTGTGCCCTTGTTTATATTTTTAATAGTGTAATTCTGTAAAGACAAAATATGTAAATCAGAACTAAACCATATCTTACATATCTTGCTAAATTGTGGGTTTGAATATTGCAATACTTTCCTATAACAAAATAGACCTGCAGAAAGAAATTACTAATAAGATATCTTGCATATGCATAGTTGTATGCTCTATATAGAGATTTTCCTTAGCTTTGATTGTATATCTCACAATTTTGTAATTTATAATTGTTCATTAAATTCTGAAAGCTGAGTGGCTTTGTTAATACTCTGTCCTAGAATGCGGTTAGATGTGCCCTTTTTTTTTGAGCACCTGCCCCTTTAGTGGTCTCTGCACGGCGCTGGAGTGAGCTCTCAGATTCTCTCCAATCCAGAAGAAGTGTTGACCTGTGAGATGGCCTCACACATGCAGTGAGAAAGACGCTGGGCGTACAGAGGACGCCCCACTGAGGTATCTCTGTAATGCACGAACAGACGCTGAGCAACGCAGTGCAGACATGCGCACCACATGAGAGCGCCTGCATGGGGCAGAGAAGATGAGATGCAGCTTCTGTCTCAGAGTTATGAGGAAGGGGATAAGAACCATCCATCCATCCATCCATCCATTTTCTGCCGCTTATCCAGGGTCGGGTCGCGGGAGCAGCAGCTTCCTCCTCCAGAGGAGCTGGAAGAAGTGGCTGGGGAGAGGGAAGTCTGGGCCTCCCTTCTGAAGCTGCTGCCCCCGCGACCCGACCCCGGGATAAGAACCCTCCAAAGATATCTCCCTTGGTCTGAACAAGCTTGTGATGCTTTGAGGAATAAAAACGGGATTGGGACGCAGCACAGCTGAGCTGCCATCGGCTCGTATTCCGAGACAAAAAGGAGCAACAGAGAGTAGAAAAATCGCTCACTTTCTTTGCAGAGATAAGGGCCAACAGCAGAGTAGTTTTAAGACAGGATGTTGGGGACATGGAAGTATGCGTCTTTTAAATCTATAGAGGTGAACCAGACGTTCTGGTGAACGTTTTCACCTGTCTGAACCTGTCTGATTGTTAGCATGTGGAATGGCCTCTCTATGATCGAGTTCAAGTACACCACGCTGCAGCAAACGGAAAGGGACGGGGACGGACCACTGTCGGTCTCATACCTTATTTGGAAATGGGACCATTGCAATCTGAAAGTGAAGAGGGCGCTATTTCCTATACTTCCGTTTTTATTTTCTTTTGAAATCTGATATTTTTTCACCTTTAGGAAGGAATTTCACTCTCAGAATGTATTTGAACTTCTCTCTTTTATTTACATCACGGCAACCCACAGTTTTTAGCAATTTTGTAGCTAAATCTGCTCCTTTGTCGCATCTTTTTGGGCCTGCTACTGCCTCTAGTGGCGTGGAGGTGGTAACACAGCTAATATAATTACATTACAAAATCAGAATACCACAACGTCTTTATTGTTTACTGTTAATTCTGGCATTACTGGCTTTATAAAACAAAATATTTTTTTCATTTTCTTAAGGATATAGAGCTAATTAAATGACAAACGATACTTTCATACATTATAAATAATATCTATATATTTCCATCAATTATAGGAGGAACAAAAGAAATAAGGAAACATGAAAAACATGATCAAATACAATAAAAATACCATTTCCAATGTACATGTAAGAAATTTTATTGAGCAAATGTCAATAACAAACAAATGAATTGGGTACAGAATAATAACAAGCCAGGTAGTTACAACCAGGGTTGTTAAACAGATTTAAGCAAAAATGTATTTTTTTGTTTTTACAGTGCCATGTATATTATTGAGACTTTTTGTTGTAGAGTCATATATATATATATATATATATAGTTTTATCTTTATATATATATATAAATAAGATGAAACTATTTAATCTATCAAAGAGGAAATTTTCCTTTAACTCTAAAACGATAAATCATATTCATGAATGCAGTTAAGTGTTGAGTAGTAGAGAAAGTGTTGTCATTATTTTCCGTATGTTGTATTTCTAGAGGTTTTAGTTTTATAGTGAGATCTTTAAAACATTTTTCTCTTTCTTTTGAGACGACCAGATAATTAACTTTCCTCTCTTCTCAGTCTTTGTGTCATCCCATAAAATACAGGGAGAAATATCCTCTGTGTTGTTAAATAATATAAACTTTGAGTTCTTTTTCTGAAAACTGTCAAATTTAATTTAATTTAATATATTATTGTTCAGCCTCCACAGGGTTTCTCTGTGATCATCACCCAAGTGGAGTCATAAACCAACAGCATTATCAGTTTGTCTCTCATCTCTGTCACATTTTATCATTCTGGTTATAAATATTTGATATAAATATTCTTATCTTGAATTCATATGATGAGAAAAATAATGTGTAATATTTATCCTGAGGGTTCGATAACCTCCATCCACCAACCCTGATTCTTTAAACATTATTTAATTGTTTATTGCTTTTCTCTGAGTTTTTCATTTTTCTGGAATCTAGAAAATGATTTTAGTGAATATTCCAGTTTCCTCCTCACATCAATATCTGATATCTTGTGTCTAAAATGTTCCCAATAAGTAATTTATTACCTTCTAAATATTCAATAAAGTGATTTCTCTATGACTGATGCAGTAAATGATTCCCAGCCTCTTCTAGTTACTGGAGAACTTTCACTGCTTCACCATGAAAAATGGACTCAAACGGTCTGGTTCTGGTTCTGTCCATCATGATCCAGATCATCACTACAGTAGATCAGACTGACTGTTGGGCTGAGAGTTTATCAGTCTGTCTCATCTGAATGTCTACAGACATATTAATGAGGATCATCATGTCTGACCAATCATGGGCCACCTGGACCAGGTTCTGACCTGGTTCAGACCTGAAGGAGCAGCAGGACCGGTTCTGCTGCTGCTCTGCAGGACGACCAGAACAATCTTCAGCTTTAAGCTGAAGCAGGTTGACGACTGTCCACTTTCTACTTTGTTAAAGCATCAAATCCAGCAGATGAACGGAGACACAACTGGGAGCATCATGTGTCTGGTCTGCTCCCAGTTTCCTCTGTGGCAGCATTTAATAATCTGCTGCTGGGAGCCATGTTTCTATAGAATATACTACTATTATTAATGATGAGGAGGATTCTAGATGCTGCAGCAGCAGATATGGGCTAAACAAACCCAGAGATGCCAGAGGTCCACAGCAGGCTGGACTTCCTGCTCTGCTCACTTCATTTCTAACTCACTTCCTGCTTGGTGGAAGATGTCAAGGAGCCAAACGGTCTAGTCCAAGTCAGTGTGACTTGTCCGAGCTGTGAGCAGTTCCTCCTCCTCTCCATCATCTCCAGTAGTTTCCTTCATTCAGCTCAGTCAGCCTCTTCATCAGCTGCTGCAGCTCCTTTGAGGCTCTGATGCTGCAGAGAAACTGAACTTTCCTTCACAGATGATAGAAGATCTTCAACATCTGACTGACCTGAAGGTCTGAGGACATGAAGCCTGGACCAGAACCAGAACCAGAACCTGGTCTTTAGTCAGGAGCTGCACGGACTCTCTGTCGGGTCAAACTCAGTAAACTGAAGATCAGATGTTGATCAGATGATGACATCACTGTTATCATATTTTATCTGTTTATGATCCAGATTGATTTCATTAGAACTGAATTTATTTCTTCTCTCATCACAGAATTGGTGGCTGTAGGCTTGAAAAGGATGAATGTGAAGTTTTGGCTTCAGCTCTGAAGTCCAACCCAGATCTGACTGAACTGGAAATCAGTGAGATGAACATATATAAAGCTGGAGACTCTGATATGAAGAATCTGTTTGAGATCCTGGAGAGTTCAGTCAGTAAAGTGAAGGATCTGGGGTTTGTTTTCTCTATTTATACAATAAAATCATTTATTGATACTTTAATCCTTAGTTTAATTAATAATTTTTTTATAATATATTTTAAAACAACCTGTTTAAATGTCAAATCAAAATCTCTAAAACATTTTTCCTTATAAATGAATTATTTTCTTATTTCAGACTTTGAGATTATTGAACCTTTCAGTTTTTAAAATGTTTCTGACTGATGAACAAAATGAGTAAAATAATTCAAATGAAGTTAATTAACGATGGAGATGTTTCAGTTTGGTTGGTAAAAATTCAGATTGTTTTATTTCTGATTCTCATCTTTACATCCAGAATAAAATGTTTTCCTCCAGTCGAGCCACAAACACTGACCAGTTCAAATCATCATTAATGAAACATCTAAAAAATGACTGATTGTAGAAAAGCAAATCTAGATGAACTGAATGACAGGGAGGTTTGCAGCAGCAGCAGGTTCCTCTCTTTGTCCTGAAGCTGTGGTTCTGTTGGGCCGGGTCAGAGAGGAACCGTCCTCTTCAGTCTGACAGCTGTCAGTCGGTTGGAGCCTCGTCTCTGTGATGAAGCTTCATCAGGTCACGTCTCCTTAGGAAATAATGGCCTCCATTGGCTTTCAGCAGCTTTAAGAAGAACCCAAGGCCATTAATGAATAAACTGAGTGGTTCTGATCCAGTTATCAAGTCGGGTCTCCAGCTGATGATCAGAACCAGCAGCCAAACCCTTCAGTCTATGTAGGTTATTGTTCTATGAGCAGCAGCCTGGATGAGCTGAGCTGTTATAGAGCAACGAATGAAGGAGAGAATCTGAGCGTTGGCGTTTCAATCAGCAAACACTGAACACATGAAGAAGAAACACACACAGCTTCTCTTTAATCACAATTTATTAACACAACAGCCCAACTTTACAGTTAAATTACTGCATCAATAAAGTCTGATGGTCACTAAACTGGGAACTTTAAATTGAAACTACAAATAATCGGCAGAAAACCGAATAAATATCAATCGGGCTGCTCAGAGAGGGAGAGAGAGGCTAAGCTAGCTGAAGCTACACTAGCTAAGGGTATGTTTGAGTCCTACTGACCCAGACTGGGACCATCTAGAGCAGGGCTGTTGAACTGGAGGCACTCGGACCACTTCTGGCCCACAGGCGGCTTCCGTCCGGCCCTCTGATGAGTTCACTAGAGCAAAATATAATCTGAGAAAATGTTCATGAGACAGAACTAGTTAAAGTTCAACATTTTAAATGAATAAAAAAACATTAGATTCTTTTTTATTTAAATTGAATTTTGTTTAAAATAAAAATACAATAAAAACAACAGAATAACTTCTAAATCTGAAATAAAATCAAAAGTTTTCAGAGTGGCCATCTTGTCTTATAGATGATCTGTGCTGGGAGGTCAGTTGTATCAGCCAATCATCATTCAGTATTCCTGACATCAAAGAACTCTGCTCCGTGATTGGAGGATTGTAGCTTTAGTCTTTAACATCATCAGATCAGTTTAATAAATTTACTGTATTTTTATTATTTATTTGTTCATATTTCAGTTTTAACTGCATCCTGTTGGCTTCAGTTAATCTTTTATCCTTTATTCAGATTGGAGAACTGCAGTTGGTCAGAGACCAGCTGGACGTCTCTGTTAACAGCACTGCAGTCCAACCCGACCCATCTGACAAAACTGGACCTGAGCGACACCAACCTGGAAGAATCTGCAGTGATGGAGCTCTGTGGTTTTCTACAGACCGAAGGCTGCAGACTAGAACAATTAAAGTAAGAAACCAAGTTTTAGTGTGAAGATAATAAAATGTGAA